TATATATATATATATATATATATATATATATATATATATATATATATATTATTGAGGTACCACGTTATTGACCATCATTTTATGAAAGGTTACAAAAAAATAACCATATTTTTTTCGTTTTCTTTGAAAATGACCGCCGTCTTAGAAAATCTGATTTCTACCAACTTTCCAAATTTCGAAATGTTTTTTCATATGTTTGTGTCTCTCATCAGCTTCTCTATCATCCTTTGAAATCATCATGGACAACTTAAAAAAATCATAACAAGTTCAGAACTTAACCCAAACCACGAAGAACAAGTTCAAAAACTGATTTTTAACTGGAAAAAAAACCAATTTCTAAAATTACTTTCTAGTTTGAAAAACACTTTTTAGATCGAAAAACATATTTCAAAATTGTATTTTATTTGAAAAAATATTTTTTTGTTTGAAAATATAACTTTTGAAATTGATTTTTTATCAAAAAAAAAAATGAAAATTGAAAAAGTTATTAGAAAATTTCAATTTCTTAACATGATGGTCGTTTCTATAGAAATGGAGAAAAAAATATTATTTCTTCAATCTTGTATATAGAAAAAATTACAAAAAATGGTCCTTGTGGTTGTCAAAATTATATGATTTGGTCCAAAATTGTTTTGTGATGCAAAAATAGTCCAGTTTTTGATATTTTATGCATTTTTGGTCTAAAAATTAATGTTGACTTTAACAGGTTGGTTGTTAACTTATTCAAAATACCAATTTTACCCTCAAAAACCATTTCTGAAACCAAACTACAAGGATCATTTATCTATCTATTTATTTAAATTTTATTCTATTATTATATATTAGTTCTTTTTTAAATTTATTTTTATTAGATTATTTTTTATTGTATTATTATTATTAATAAATATCATTTTTAATATATAATATTTATATATTAAAAAAATATTTGTTTATTGTATTATGAGTTTATATTTAATTAATTATTTTTTAATTTCTTTTTAAGGGTTTATTTCCCTTTTATTGTATTATTATTTATTAATAAGTATTATTTAAAATATATAATAGTTATATATTAAAAAATATTACTTTATTGAGTTATAATTTCTTTTTTATTAGATAAGTTTTTTTATATTATAATTTATTAACAATTATCTTTTTAATATATATTATTTATATATTAATAAATATTATTTTATTGTATTAATATTTTTTTTAATTGTTTTTAATTTGTTTTCATTGTTTTCTTTGTTATTTAAAATAAAGAACCCTAAAAAAAAGTTCACTCACCCCACGTCTCCTAATTTATTTTAAATATTTAGAAGATAAAATATTTTGGACAACACCACCACCATCACCTAATTTGACATTGGTGGGATAGGTGACATTTTAAAAAAAAATTAGGATGGTGGTGGTGTTATAAAAAAGAATTAACCCAATAAAAAACGAAATTAAAAAAAATAACTAAAAGAAATTAATAGTCTAGAGAAAACAACCCATTTCCATCATCTATTTCTTCAAAACCTTCATCTTCTTCATCTTTCTCCCTGGATCCATCATTCTCGTCATTAGATATTTGGTCATACGTCTTTATAGTTGAGGCTAGGAGCTGTCATTTCGCACGAGTAATAGTAAAGGGGTAACTCAAACTTCTCTTCAACCTGAAAGATTTCATCTACTTCCATTTCAGTTCGGTGACTTTAAACACCCCTCTTGGTTTTGTCTTGATAATCATCCAATCATCTTTCGTCTCCTTTGTCACTGAAGGGTATGGTATATAAACACTTGTTCTGTGATGACAAATAATAAAGGTAGTCAGTTTGAAGTCGACAGTTGAGTTTGACATCAATCAAGTTGTTTTGTTGACTATTACACCGTCTTTGTTATAAAACAATATACAATTAAACAGTACAACAGTCGAGGGTCTGCTGACATAATACCCAATCTCTAAGATCTCTTGTAATATGACATAGTAGACCGACCCTTTTTTGGCATTATACGCCCCCCCCCCCCCCATCACACATACTCCTAAGTTATTGATCTAGGAGATGTTGGGTGTGATTTTCTTCGGGTTTTTTTTTATTTATTTAAAATAATGACGAAAAAATTTAAAAATAGTAATCCAATAAAATAATATTTATTAATTAATATATATAATATTATATTAAATATATTTTTTATTATAAGTTATAATCCAATAAAAATAATTAATCTAATAAACAAGAAATTAATAATCCAATAACGTAATATTTTTTAATATATTAATATTATATATTTAAATAATATTAATTAATATAAAATAATCCAATAAAAATAAATAATCTATTTAAAATGAAATTAAAAAATAATTAACTAAATGTAATTAATAATCCAATAAAATAATATTTATTAATATATAAATATTATATATTAAAAATGATATTTATTAATATATTACCATAAAAAGGTAATCTAACAAAATGAAATAAAAAAAAAAGATTTGATGTATAATAATTCAATGAAATTAAAAAGAAAAAAAATGTAGAAATGGTGCTTGTATTTTTGGTTGCAGAAATGATATTTATTAATATATTACCATAAGGGTAAAATTTTCATTTTAATAAAAATAACATAAGTGGTTAAACTTAACATTTTTGGAACAAAAATGCACAAGCTATCCAAAATTGAACTACTTTTTCACCAACAAATATCTTTGGACCAAAATGATATAAGTTTCACAACCATTGTCTTGTATATATGTGCAATTGATTTTGGGTTTATATATTAAGTTAAGGTGTTTACAATAATTAATATTTAAAAGTAATTTCAATTTTCCTTTTCCAATTTCATCCCCTCATTTCACTGTTGTGGTCGTCGATTCACTCTCATCATCAATTTTCGTAGCTCGTTGCTTGCTCCCTGAATCCCCTGTCCCACCCACAATCTCCCGCCTTCCTTCCCCTGGTCGTCGATTGGCAAGTGCAGAAACCGCAACCAAATCATCTGAATGTTATATCGATCACAGAAATTCATATTGAATCCAACCAAATCGCAGAAAATTTATCAAACTTAAAACAGATTGGTGATTATTCAAAAGTATGAACCCGTTTTCATAACTCGGAGTGGTTGAAGTACTGTTCAGGATCGTTGAAGTATATATCAATCAAAAGGTATGTATTGGTGTCTTTCTTTCATTTTTTTATGCTATCTTCTTCCAACACTCCATTTAGGCTCATTTGTAAAAGATCGTTATCAAAAATTGAGTTTAATGAATATTAATTTTTTGATGAAATGCCTGTATGGTTTGTTCATAGTGCAGTGTTGGGATTTTATAAGAGTATTACAAAATAAAGATTAACATGCAGGAAATAAGTTTTCCAAACATTTGTTAATTCTACCAAAAAAAAAAAAATTGTAAACACCCAATACAATATGAGAAAATAATGGTTCTTGATTAAGGCAAAATGTTATAAAACTTGACTGTGATGATATTTTCTTTAGTTATAGATGTGATAGAGATAAGGTTGAGTTCGAACTGTGGGACAAATTAACAAAACATCTCTAAGGAATAGAGTATCATTTAACTGAAATCATGTATATTTTAATTTCAACGATTTAGTTAGTTATCTTGTGTAAATGTTCAAAGGCGGTTAAAATTGGAATTCAATATCCCAAAAGCATGCTAGGACTGGAGTGGTGAGTAAAAAATGTTCCAGGCTGTTTAAATTGTTTTGATATTTGATTTTTTTTTCTTAATATTTACAATTTACCATCTTTGTAAAGACATCTGATCTCATCTATAATACCAACTGTCTGATAGAATTTCCCAATGACATCTCTCACCATTAGCTTTGTTTGCTCATCATATAATCTAAAATAGAAATATATATTTTGTATATTTGGATGACTTAGGTATCCAACAGGGTATATAACACATGATGTGTTACCCGAATTATGGACGGATGTATTTTTTTTTGAAAATATGAAGTCATTATAATAATTATTAATTAACATTTAACTTACAAAATAAATAAAAAATTGAAATAGATATAAGAAGTATAGCAGCAAGATTTTACATAATTTCTTGTTTGGGAGATGTGTATGGCTTTGTTCTTGGTTTATAGTATTGAGTTTTAGAAGTATAGCAATCTTCATTGACTTCTTTTTTTATCTACTACAAGCATATGTAAAGTTTCTCAACAAAAACACATTCAAATGAATACATATTGACATGATGCATATAGGGAACATGAGAAAAGTAAAGAACATTGAAAGTACACTATATCCATCAGAGACAATAGATGTCAGTTCAAAGCAGATCCTTCATCAACAGATTTGAAACTTGGCGCATTGTTGGTCTTCCATTCGGATTGGAGTTCAAACATGCTCTTGAAAGACTCAGCACCGAATTAACTTGTTTCTCAACTTGTGGTGAGGGAAGTGGAATCCGACTGTCTCTCACATTTCCTAACACCAGATAATCAGCAGACAATGTTGGTAGTTCACCAGGATGCTTTCCCATCATCACTTCTAGTGCAACAATCCCAAAGCTATACACATCACATTTCTCGGTTGCCACCATCGTATAAGCAAGCTCTATATCCAAAGAAACATGAAATAAAAACCAAAAAAAAAACTATATTAACCCCACAAGATTCTAACATAAATACATATATGTACATATACATATTTATATATGTCATGAAATTTAAGACGTAGAACCAGAATCACAAGATTATGTTACCTGGGGCGATATAACCATAGGTGCCTGCAATTGCGGTCCAGTTGGATGAGTCTAGCTTTAAAAGCTTGGATGTGCCAAAATCAGAAATATGTGCCTCATAATCTGAATCAAGAAGGATGTTGGCAATGGAAATGTCTCTATGAATTATAGGAGGTGAGCAGTCGTGATGCATATAAG